TAGGTTTGTAGATAAGTAAGTTTTAGCAATATACTCAGAGAAACCCAGACGCTGCCTGTGACCCCATCTCTATAACTGAATTCCTGAAAACAATCCCCTGATTTCATGCTGAAGTCAACAAGGTACATCTAAATGCACTTAAATAACTGAGGCCTCCAAGTATTGTTGGAGAAATGAAGGTAGAAAATATACTGTATGTTTATACATAGCAATATTTAATACGTAGAAGTAAAATACTTTTACCGTACTGGAAACTCAGGAAGCAGCACTACACATCAGAAAAGAATTAAGAACATTTTGCTTTTAACTAAGAAGCACTAGCTGTTGACCAGTATTAATGGAGAACAAAAACTGAAGATTCTCATGTAAGGTATATTAGGCATGTTCTTAAAGATCAATCTATCTTGTACATGCAGAATGCATATATATGTGCACATATATGCCAGGACTAAAAAGATATTAACACCATTACTCTAAAATATTAAAAGAAAAGAAATCTCAGCCAGATTCCTAGTTTTCATATTCTGTTTTTGGAAAACAGGATGACTGCAAAAATAATTAGTCTGACAAATTGATGTCAACTGAATTCTAAACTAAGGGCAACAAAAACAAATCTGTAGGGCCAATAAATGAAAGAATATTTTTTTAATTCTTAATTTACACATGCAAATAACCTTAACCACATCACTTTGAACATGTGTAGTATTTAAGACACAAGTTAAACACATTCTAAAATCCTGAAATCTAGTGTAACTGTTTGAGCGCAGAAGCAAGGTGATACCAGCTAAGATAGCTCCCAGGATTGTCAATGTAAATTTCACATCTAAAAGAACATACAGCTCAGGAACTGCAATAAATACCAGAACAAGTTCTAGGTGGGGATGCATACAAAGTGAGAAATACTATGCCATACACACTTACACAAGTGTCTATACATGTAGGTACTTCAAAAGTCACAGTCTGAGTAATTAATTTTAATAAGCCTGTAAAATGTTCCAGTTTTATCTGCTGGGCCAGCAATAAAGTTGTTTTTCAACTTCCTAGCAAGCACTGAGCTGCAACTTAAAAACAACTGTACTGATAATTAGTTAACTCAAAAGTAGACCAGGATCAAGGCATTCCAACAAAAATTGAGACCTACATAAATGAAGAGCAGAAGAAAAATAACGTTCTATGTCAACAGACAGAAACTAATAAACTCCTGAAAGAGTAACTTGCAGCTACTCCCACATGGTGGTAAACTTTGAGAAATGTAACTAACTGAACGAAACAACCAGGTTGAAGGATGTACTGATCAACAGACTGCTAAATACAGGCACACACAAGACAAGAAACAAAGTGTTCTAATGAGTAATGAACGGCATTGAAAACATTCAAATCTCACTTGTTTCTTTTTGCTTTTTTTTGTTGTTGTTTTCTGTGATGTCACAATTCAGACAAAAGCATGTGATCTGTGGATCAAATATTAATTTTACTTATAAATCACAGAAAGATGTGCAGAAGAAGGGATAGAAGTATGGAAGAAAAAAATTGACTGCCAATGTGTCTCTAATACAAAGAAACGTTCAGCTATGATTAAAAAGCAATTTTACTGGCTATTTTACTGTTAACAGTACCATGGAAATTGTTGTCATAAAAGGCATAGCTGAAGAGAAAATTTGTATCATAAAAAGACAGTGTTTGTACTAATTAAACACCTATAATTAGGCTGCACCATACAGGATTTTCTTTCCCTCCATCCCAGAGTCAAATTTAAATATTTATGTTTGAATGTGTAATGACAGCATAATCAAAATTACAGACACAGTTACCTTACAGGCAGGTCGTTCTACTTGTCTACTCAAGATGTACTTGTGTTTTCCTCCAAAGAAAACTGCTTTCTAGTACAGGATAACAAGCCAGAAATAAAGACAGCTAATTACCGTAGAACTTCACATCAGCTGTACTCACAATAACACAAGTGGATACAGCCTTTGTCTGCATGAATCAAATCTCTCTGCCTCCAGTGGTGCCCAACCAGAGAGTTGGCAGCAGAAAGTGGCATCACCCTTTTTCTTTCAGCGTTGGCCAGGTTGTGAATGACTGAGACAAGATAGCTTACACGCGTACCCTGTAGCTCTTGCCTTACTCCAGCAGTCACTTAAGTGACAGATACAATGTACTCTGTAGATAAGGAGAGCTACTAAGCAAAAATAGTACCTATATGCATATACCTAATAGAATTAATTACAATTCTTCCAGAAGAACTACCATAAAGAAAGCTCATACTATATACTGGTTTTCATTTTGTTTTTCTGTCTCCATAGAGAATTACTAAACAGAGTAGTTAACAAAACCTCATATCCAGGAATTCAGGAAAGCTCCTCATTTACATTCCAATACATAAATCTGAAATACATTAGAGAAATACAAATACAAGCCTGAGCTCGAATGTTGACTCAGATCTTGTTAGTCTCACTCATATTAGTCATCTTACTGGGCTCGTGCTGAGCACTCTGTGGGTGGACACATAAATTCATACAGAACCCACTGAAATTAGCACACAGCCAGGGTGAGTGACTTTTAATAGCGTTCTACTGAGTTAAATGGAAAAAACACAATTACGTATTGCCTAATTACACTGCTAATCTTTGCATGCCTTGGTAAAAATGAGGGAGGGGCAGAAATAGGATATTTAAAACAAAAATGCTAACTTGTAATAGCACAGTACCACTAGGATAGGGTAATTCAGGTTGAAAGATATCTCAGGAAGTCTCATCTAGTTAAACCTTCTCTTTGTTGTTTATTTTAAAAAGCCATAAGATTGTGTTGCCTTCTTCTTTGTAAAATACTCTTTTTTTTTTTTTTTTTCAAAATGCCATTGAAGTAAGTATATTTCAGTTGTTCTGTGGATAATTATTTTACCCTGCCTCTTAAGTAAAGTTTCATAACTTCTGACATTAGCTGCCTTTCAGGTACATGTTAACACCAATTAGCTGATATGTTTGTTTAGTATTACCATATATCACAGAATTGTAGGGGTTGGAAGGGACCTCTTGCTTCCAGATTCTTGTTATGTTTTCCATTCTTGTTATGTGGGTTCTTGTTTCCACTTGAGGGTCTTTCAACCAAATTTTTAAAGTATTTCTTGTAACTGTGAATTTTTCCTCTAAGCTTTTTGTTTATTTTAGGTCATACAGTAAAAATGCTCCAGAACTTTGATAAGGAAACCAATGTTAAAAGACACAACCCTGTTCAGTGACCACTGTTCTTATAGTTCAAGCAAGAGAATACCACTGCCAGTACAAGATGGCAGTGACATTTGCTTTAGTCATATTCTGTGGTCATGTACAACATCAGCACCACATCATTTGGAAATGGTTATTGTCAGTCCAATCACCAAGCTGAACAGATGTATGTGAGAGGCAGTAGCAAGCTCCTTTCATTTTCCATTTTGCAGTTCTAGCCAACAAGATGCTGAAATACTTTCTGTATTCTACAAACTTCTTGCTTAAGTTTCCTCTCCTAGCAGGGATTAGTGCTTCCTAGTGACATCGGGAACTCACTAACACTTATGAAAGTGAAAAAACTCTTGTAAAGAGCTTAAATTTTAGCTTTCTCTAGAAAGCATGGTACTGTTCATAAACATTACCATTTCGTTGTGTAACACTATAGTCATTAAACACAGAATTTTATATTTGTACCTCTGGAGTCACTTGGGACTCATGTCTTCAAGCAGAAGATGGTAGAAACAATGTTGCTATGCCAAAGCATTCAAATTATGGCCCCTGGACAGGAAACAGTAGAAAGACCTTAAGGACATCACTTCTGCTACCTGGTATCAGTGACCGTGTAGATCGAGCATTGCAAGGAAAGAAAGGTTAATCTGCATAATCAATACAAACTGCACTTTTCAACGGGGCACACAATCCCCCTGAGATTTTCTGTTAAGATTAATTTTTTTTTTTTTTTTTTTTTTTGTAAAATACAGAATTTAGAAGTACTTCTATCTCATCTGAGCTGCATATCTGTTGATTTTGATTAACAAGAGAGACAGTGGAGAGAGAGAGATGACAAAGGGGGGAGTGTATGGGGCAGGGATGCCAAGAGCACCGATTATTAACCAGCTGACCTGCCCTACGAAGCTACACCTGGCACTTTCATTGACTTCCACATCTTCCCAATTATGTTTCTCCCTGACAAACAACCAGAGGGAACAGCCTATGTCTCACCGGTAATAAGTGAGAAAGCTAGGTGTTACTTTCTGCCTTGTCACACAGTTTAGAGAAAAGGGAATTTGAAGACACAGGCAAAAAGGTTAGCATTAGACTTGTTAGACTTCAGCTGTGCCAAAAACAAACATAACCAACCTGAAGTTTCACCCGCAATTGTTTCCTTAATAATAACAGTAATAGTACGCTAGTGTACTACAATAATAGTAATAACTTCGTCCTGTGGAAAGGGAATGAAATGCAGTAATTTGTAACGTACAGCTAAGGAGCTTAGAAACAACTTAAATACGATCCGACAACGAAGAGCCCCAAAGCCCCCGCGGCGCTCCTTCCCCCCGCAGCGAGGATCTTTCAACGCCACAACTATTCTCGAGGAAGTACTCCGGGCAAAACCCAGCAGTTTCGCCGAGGCGCGGCGGCCCGAAGAGTGACGGCGGACTTCCTCTGCCTCGCCCCGCGGTCGGGCCGGCCGGCACCGCGCTGCCGGACAGCGAGGCCTCGGGGCCCAGAGGGCCGCGCCCCGTCCCCCCCCCCTCTTTCCGCAGGGCCTACTCGGGGCACTCGCCCCGCGCCCCGCCGCCGCCCCGGGCCGCTCAGCGCCGTCCCATCGCGCCGGCCCCGAGCGGGGCTCCGCGCAGGGTTCCGCTCGGTACTCCCCACCGGCGGGACGGAGCGGAGACCCTTTGGGCGGAGGTGCAGCCCCCTCTCCGATCCGCTGTCCCCCCCGACCCCGGTCGTGGTGGCCAGCGGACAAGTCGCTGCCGGGGCTAGCGGCGCTGCCCCACTCACCCCGCGGGAGCTCGGCGGAGCGGCGCGAGCTGGCGGCTTCCCCTCAGCACCCGCAACCTCTCCATGCACAGCACCGGGGCAGACAGCACGGCGGCGTGCTGCCGAGCCGCGCTTTACCCGCTGCTCGGCACAGCCGCCCCGCCTTCCCCCCCCTTCCGTCCCTCCCTCTCTCCCTCCCTCCCTCTCTCCCTCCCTCCCTCTCTCCCTCCCTCACCGCCGCGGCGGGGAGCGGCGGGGGGCGGGGGCACCCGCTCGCGCGGGGAGGAGCGGGGACCGCGGGGCTCCCGCCGGCTGCGTCATCGCGCAGCTGCTAAGCGACGCGGGGCGGGGTCGCGGCCGTTGCTCCGCGGTGCTCGTCTCGTCCCGCCCTCGGCGGGCGCCGGGACTATGGGGAGCGGGGAGCGGGGTGTGTCCCGTGCGGCTGTTGGTCGCCTCAGGGTAGGCCCTGCGAGGCGTGGGTGTTTGTGTCTCTTACGGGTTTCCCTTCTATCTCCCCGGTGGGGAAAAACGGGAAGAAAGTGAAGCGGGGGGCCTCCGACCAGCAGGCAGAAGTCGCAGCGGGCCAAG